CTTTTTGAGGCGGAGAGAGGGTAGCATGACCATGCAGCATTCCGCCGCTCAAACGGAAGCATGGGCCGAGGACCGACGCCCCGGTGGAGGGAGAAAGAAGGCTCGGATCGTCGGACGGAAGAATGGTTCGCTGACGGAGACGACCGCTTGGTCCATGGTGTGCAGTTCGTCCGCGCGCGCGCGCGCCCTTGAATTCCGCGCCGAGCCGGCTCAGCATTTCTCCCCCGCACCCTGGAAAGATCCGCGAGTCTGCATTCCCCTCGGCGCCATTTCACGCCCTTTCCCCCCCCCCCTTCACTCGGCTTCTCGGATAGCACACATCGCCTAGTCTCATCGTCAGCTCAAGCAGCTTACCCGATGGAAACAACAGCAAAAGAGGTGGTAACAAAGGAGGTGGGAGAAACAAAGCGAAGCGGGAGGGGGGGAGGGGGGAAGAAGGACGGGGCGTGTCGGCGATCTGGCAAGCACACCATCCCGACCAACCCCGGGCGGCTTCGGACCGGTCGCGCCTCGTCTTTCGTCTGGGCCTGGACAGAGAATGCCGTTGGCTTTCCCCAACCCCCTGTTTGCTCGGCCACCATCCCCCATCTTCCACTTGCGTTGCCACCACCATCATCAACCCTCTTGACGACCTACTAGCAACTGCGGGCCAACATGTCGAGCCACGCCGCCCTGCACTGCGCACCTGCGCCACGACCGCCATGACTATCCTCGACAAAGCCTTGTTCTGCACAAGGCTAGCATTTTGAAGTCCAACCCCCATACGCGCTGTCCCTTTCTTGGCTTGCGCAACGTCGTGCCCCACGATTCTCGGCCAGCGCTTGCACGCATTCGGCAGCCATGCACAGGTCGACACCATCCCAACAGCTCGATAACGACGCCTTCCCTGCACATCGACGATCTAACATCCCGCCGGGTTTGCGCGTCGTCTCGGCCGATCGACTCGTCTCGACGAAATCACGACATCTCGGCCGTCTTTTTTCGACTTGGCAGCATCACGCCATCGAGGGCCACGCGAGATGCAGCCTCTGCATCCCACTTTTGGCACCCAGCACTTATCGATGCCCCCTCTCCCCGTCAGATGGGCGCGGCAGCAGATGGGGGAGCATTTCGGTCGTCCCCCCCCAGATCTGGAAGGTCGCCCAGCCAGCCAGCGCTAAGCGAGGTCTGTCTTACGTCGGTGCCTTGTCCAATCCAACCAGCCACTCGCTCTGAGAGCATCCGCCAGTCCTCACCATCTCCAACCACCGCGCGCTGTTCTACAGTGACGACCTTATCTAGGATGGCCAAGGCAGGGAGAGAGTCGTCGCGGCGCAACTTGGGAGGGAGGGAGGGAGGGAGGGGGCTGCGAGCGATGCGCAGTGCTGATCTGCAGCTGCAGTTGCCAAAGACCCACGCGAGTCCGAATCAGGGCGGCGGCGCTCGACGATTTTGCTTTTCCAAAAGGCAAACGCACGCGCGTTTTGGGCGAATTTGGCGCAAATGGAATGCCTCGAATTGCCCCAAAACTTTGGGTCAGAGCGAGCCGAATTTCGCTGCTCTGCAACGGTGCATTTGCGTGCAAGCTGGCCTTGGGCGACTGATCGAATCGGATCGGATCAGGATTTTGGCCCTTTTGGCCAGACTCGTCGCATCGCTTCCCATCAACAGAGCCCTTTGCACCTCGCATGGCATCGCTGCTCGGCCCGCAGCAGAGTGCATCGTCGGTCGGCATCGTCCATCCGTACAGTCCAGGCGCAGGATCGTCTGCAGCCGCCCCAGCAGCCAATCGCAGCGCAGCGCCATCCTTGCAGCAAGAAACAGCACCCATCGCTCCGACGCTCTCGCTCTTGCAACCAACGCAGCCTCTCAGCTTCTTCTCTGCATTGCCACATCCCGCTCTGGCCGATCTGCAGCCCATAGACGTGTAGGCTCGTTGCGGCCAACCCCGCTTTCATCGGCCCAGTGACTCCATCTCTCCACCACTCCCCACCACCGCGCATTGCTTCGTATCCAGGGCTATGCCGTCTTCCTGAGGCTGCTTGCCATCAATACACGCCTCTCTCCACCGCTTCGTCCTTATACCCTTTGCTACAACATGTCGCCGCACGACTCGTCCACGTCCCACTTGGGCGGCGGTGCCGGCGGTGCCGATGCCAACAAGCGTTCTGCCGACGAGGCCAACGTCGACGCTCAAAACGCAGCCAAGCGCAAGCGCCCGCAGTCGTGCGACACGTGCCGCTCGCGCAAGATCAAGTGCGTCCGCCTCCACGTCGACGGCATCGACGTCAGCGCAGACAACCGCTGCGTACAGTGTCGCGCCATCGACGCCAAGTGCACCTTTGACTACGTACCCAAGCGACCCGGTCCACAGAGCTCGTTTGCCAAGACCGCGCGCAAAGAAGCAGAAGCCCATGCCCAGGCACACCACAAGCCGACCACCCCGCACGGCCTCGCGCGTCCGACGCACTCGCGCGCATCCACCTCGGGCTACACCAACACACCCGCACCCAGCATCGCAGGTCCCTCTCCCAACCTCGCCTCGGCTACCGGCGGCTCGCCCACC